GAAGTCTACCTGGAGGAAATAATTGGTGAATCAGGTCTCAAAAGTTGAGAATGAATTAGGAAAAAGACAGTGGGGTTCTAAAAAAGGAAACTCAGGAGAAATGACACATAGATATGAAGCTGCTGGTTATCAAGGTCTAAAGCAGTTCAGTATTTCTATTGCCAAAAGTGAGTGCTGAAAGGTTGCAAGAAATAAAGCTAGAGTGAAAAAAATAAAAAAGATTTCTGATTACCTGAGACTTTTTATATCATGGCAATTACTTTCCTTTTATCTTTTGAAGAAAAAAAAAAACATTGAAGGTTTTTAAGTATAAAAGAAAGTTGGTTAATTTGAATTCCATATATATCACTTTGAGAGTGGAATAGCAGGATGGATTTGCAAAGCACCATATTAGAACAAGAGATCATTTTGAGGGCCACTGAAGTAATTCAAGCTAGAGTTGATAATGACCAGAATAGAAGTGTTTGAAGATGAAAGGGTAAATTCCAGAAATATTTGGGCAATAATATTGACAGATCTTGGTGATTAGTAAAGAATAAGAGAAACAGAATAGTTCTATTGGTTACCCTAGTAAATTACCCAAAACTTAGCAGCTATGAAACAACAATAAACATGAATTATCCCATACAGTTTCTGTAGGTCTGGATTCTAGAGCAGCTTACCTGGGTGGTTCTGGCCTGAATCTTCTCTCATGGTTACAATCATAATGTCGGCTAGTGCTGTATGTCAGCTGGCTTGACTGGAGTTGGAGGATCTGCTTCCAAAATAACTCATTCACATAGCTATTAGCAAGAGGCTTCAGTTCCTTGCTGGTTATGGCAGGAGAACGAATTTCCTTGCCAATGAACAGCTCCATAGTGTTGCTTGAGTGTTCTTATGAAATGGCAGCTGGCTTTGCCTACAACCAGTGACTTAAGAAGAAAGATAAGGTATAAGCTGGAATCCTTTTTACAATCTAGTCATTTGTGCAATATCTTACTGGTTATACCGGTGGAAGGTGACTACACACAGCATGAATAACATGAGGCAAGACTCTTTGCAGACACAATGGTCAATGAAGAACTCCACATTTTTTGTATTGTGTGTTTAGGTGGATTATGGTGACATCCACAAGATAATCAACAAAAGAGGGGCAGCAGTATTGTGGTTGGTTGGTTGGTTAAGTGTCTGTGTGTATGTGTTTCTGGAAAGTACAAGGTAATACATTCGATTTTTGAAATTATCCAATAAATGCCTGGTTATATGCTTAGGAAATGTAAGAATACATTTAGTGATGGAAAAATTAATTTGGGGACCATTAGCATTTAAATGGAACATAAAATCTTAAGGTTAGCTAAATACATCCAAGTAGAGCATAAAAATAAAATAAGAGAAAACAACATTGTTTTCAAAAATTGAGCATGACAGGAATTAAGCAAAATGATTAAAGGGATAGAAACAAAAAAGAACACTGTAGAAATAAACGAAATAAATAATTTATGAAAAAGAGTAGTCAGCAGTGTCAGAGAAAGCAGAAGTATCCAGGGAACTAAAATATACCCATTGGATTTGGCAATATATATGCTATTAAGAATGTTATCAGAGTGATTTCAAATTTGGAAATGTGGGAACAGAAAACAGATAATAGAAGGTTAGGTACAGGTAAATCAAATGAAATTGTGGATAATTATGTATCAGTTATGTTCCAATCTGGAATCAGAGATCCTTCAAGAACACTTAAGACAGAAGAAATTAAATATTGTGAATTAATTATATAGGTGAAGGAATTGCTGAAAAACCAAACAGGAAATGATGAGGCAAATCAGAGATTAGCCATCTCAAAAGCTACTGCAACACCTTTGTTGAAGAGATAAAGTGATTGGGGTTACTAAAGGCCAGAAACCAGGATCTTCTGGAGGAATTTTGAATCATTTCTTGTAGGAACTGGAGCCACAGAGAAGCTACTACTGTTGAACATGCCTCACTGGCAGATTGTGAAAAATACCCTTTCTTCTCCCTTCATTCTCCCTTCTGCTAGTGTCTCCAATTGGCAAACTATAGTTAAAACCAGCTGACTTGGGAATCTGGGAGAAGTATTTCTCCTGGGGTCAGCCCCCATGTGATACAAAATGAGAAAAGGAGATAAATATATATAAGAACAAACAGAAGAGCAGCTGACAAAACGTTATTTTTAACTTGCCAATCTTATAAAGACATACCAAATTGGAAGCCCCATGTGAGAAACTTAGTAGAACTTTAATGCATAATGAAAAATAAATTTCACTGAAAATATTTCAGAGACCAAGGTCTGTGCTCTAGGTAAAATACCTTTACATTGAAGAGCTTTTATCTCAGCACATTCAATGAGGAAAGATTTAGCCTGACTTGAAATAATTGGGCTTGATATTCTCTCTCATAATGGCAATCATCAAGAATTCCCTGCACAGAATACATTCATGAAAGATTTAGAATTCATTTTATTTCTAATTAAATATTGCTTTTCTTTTTAATCCAGTGAATATTTCATTTTTTAAAGATATAGAACGGTAATAAAATTATATATATATATATATATATATATATACACATATTGATAGCCATAAAACAGAACAGCTTATAAAATACAATTTTATCATATAACCTGCTGTAGATAATGATCCATCAACATCTTAAATATTATCAATGTAGTACAATATATAGCAGTGTACAATTGTAGTGATCATTGTTGAAGGTCTCATAACATGCATTCCCCTCTACCAGAATCCTGACAGAATCTTGATTTAGATCCAACACAACAATCTCATTCCATTTACTTCAGAAGAATCTGATCTCTTAAGTCTCAGTGGCATGAGCCTGACTGGTTTATGCTAATTAGTATGTACGGGATAATGGACAAAAGTGGACAAGTGACATAAATGGATAATCAGGAGTGGAAATGGTATTTTGGAGTACTGGAATACAAGGGTTCTCTCTAGTCCTTTGCAAATTGTTACATGCTTTTGTGGGGGCCAGAAATACCTCAACCATCTTGCTACTGGACTAAACATGGAGAAAGAGCATGGTAAAGTCACTATAATTTCAAGTAAGTGAAGCATAAGTTATTGGCTTAAACCAAACCTGAAGCCTGACGTAAAATTTTATTGTTGGTTATGTAGGGGAAAAAAGTGATTTAATATTTAGGTCAGTTTGAGTTGTGTTTTCTTTCACTGGCTGTGGAAAACACCTTAAATCAATGTACAAAGTGCATGTGTGCATGTGTGTGTGTATGTATTAGTTCCTAAACTTATGATGTCTACATTTCATTTTTTTTTTTTTTTTTGAGACGGAGTCTCACTCTGTCACCCAAGCTGGAGTGCAGTGGTACAATCTTGGCTCACTGCAATCTCTGCCTCTTGGGTACAAGCAATTCTCCTGCCTCAGCCTCCTGAGTAGCTGGGATTACAGGTGTGCATCAATACACCCAGATAATTTTTGTATTTTTAGTAGAGACAGGGTTTCATCATGTTGGCCACGCTGGTCACAAACTCCTGACCTCAAGTGATCCACCCACCTTGGCCTCCCAAAGTGCTGGGATTATAGGTGTGAGCCACTGTGCCCAGGCTATTTTATTTTTAATTGATGAATAATATATGTATTCATGGGTACACTCTGATATTTTGATATATGTATATATTGTGGAAAAATTAAATCAAGATAACTAATGTATCTATCACCTCACCTACTTATCATTTTTTGTGGTGAGAAAATTTTAAATCTACTCTTTTAGCAATTTTGAATTATACAATACATTACTATTAACTAGAGTCACCATGCTGTGCAGTATATCACTAAATTCTTTTTGTAAATATACTGAAAGATGTCGGCCCTCTTCTAAGTAGGAAAAATATGTAATACATCAATACAGACAAAAATTTGTACACAATACTGGATTCTCAGACTGAGTAATGTCAATAGGGTATCATTTACTCAATACCAAGATACAATTTAAGAGAAAAATCATGATAATTAATGAACATGATTCAAAAAATTTTAAATAGGTCTAACAGATATCCCTATTCTTTAGTGAGGGAAAATCTATCATCAAGTTCTTGGTTTGCGATACTGGCTTGGAGAGATGAAATGTTAGCTCAGAGATGATGACTATAGGCTCATGCATTCTAGTATCCCTAAACATGTGACTTATATAAGTTTTATAACTGATTATAATGCTGAATTTGTTTTAATTTTGCATATTCAATGTTAGAACTTTTCAAATATACTCACATTGTATATATTAATATATGATTTATGTAAAAGAGTCTATACTTAAATACCCTGAAGGGGAGAATTAATTTGCATTCATCACACCTAAGACAAATAGTATGAGTTACTTTTGGAAATACTGTAACATACATTTGTTCAAGTTTCTGATAATAAAACTGCACATGGATACGAACACTAAGGCCAAATCAACAAAATGAAAGGCAAATAATTGAATTGTGAGTATGTTGCAAACTTAAAGTTTGACATCTATAATAAAAATTAGGAGAATTTGATGAATTTTCTCTTTGATATCCAATAAATGCTTTATAGGTGAATGTGCTGATTGTTATAGTCAGAACGCCTTTTATTAGATGACCAGCAGTGAAAATTAGCATATATATTCAGACCACTTTGGGCATTTTTATCGCCCAAAACCCTCTTCTAAGTTTATGAATCCCCATAATGTTTTCATATACAATTTTATACCAGCACATGGTTATACTATTTTGAGGAAGAAAACCAAACCTTTTGGCTTTGTAATCTATAATAAGGAGTTAAAATGTATTAAGGAAACAAAAGCTTTTTCTTGTGATAAAGAATTGTCTGCTGCTTCTGTGGTGTTGTTATGAAACAAGAACATGAATAATAAAAATATTAATAATAAATCTGACTTATTTATAGTGCATTAACAACTGGACGATTGGAGGGAAACACATAAAACAGGAAAAGTGTCCTCTAGCTATTTTCTCTATAGACTAGCATTGCTTTTTCTTTTTTTTTTAATCTAAGAAATTTTATCGCTCAGAACCTTCCCTCCCTGGGCAATGGCAAGAGCTTCGGAGACCAGCCCTTGGAGACAGAGTCAGAGGCACCTGGGTAGAAAAAAAGAGCGAGCGTGTGGCACATTTGGTCCATTGTTGAGTGTGGGAATGGCAAGGGGAGAGGGGACTCTAGAAGGCCCTGCATCTAGGACCTTCTAGGGACCCAGATAGGCCTCCTTGGGCAAGGCTCACATGCCAAAGCAAAGCAGACAAGGCCAGCCAGGCTTGGGGTGAGAGCTTAGTGCCTCAGCCTTGCCCTGGGGTTCTTGGACCTTCCAGAAACTGAGCCACATCAGGCCCACGTTGATGGCATAGGTGGTGATACAAATGATGCAGAAATCATAGAGCACGAAGAACAGCATCCAGGCCAGGTAGGTTGAATCAGCGAGAGACACCGGGGATCTCAGCAGCAGCAGGACGGAGGCCCAGAGTGTCCTTAGGCAACCAACCTAACAACAGCTGTAGCTTGTGGAAGATGCAACCGAATATGCTGTTGGATTGATTGAGGATGCTGTCCTTTCCTAGCACGTGCCCCACCAGCCCAAAGCCCATGCCCCACCTGGAGAAAATGCGCAAACAGCTGATGGCAGTGCCCACGTCGCAGAGCGCATGGTAATACGGGTTCCATGGGCGCGCCGCCTTCACGTGCAGCACATAGAGCGAGAGCACTAAGTCAGCTAGGCAGAGCATGAACTGCACCCAGCCAGGGCTCCCCCAGGCGCTGCCCACATCTCCAGGTCCCGTCTGAGGCGCCCACGGAGAAAACCAGCCACGGAGCAGGGATGGGGCGGGGCCTAGCATTCCTTTTCTTCTGATTAACAAATTTGTACATGAATGAGAAGAATAGTTAAATTGTTTAGAGCGTTAAAGTTTTCTTATTCAATATTGAAGTTTAGGTTTTTGGTATTAGACTGCCAATTTATAGGGAATTTTTAAATAGAGAAGGAATAATTTTAGCTATTCCTGGGAAAGACTGTTAGTATTTTTTAATTCACAAATTAAAATTGTAACTATGATATACAAAATAATGTTTGGATATATGTATACATTGTAAAGTCACTAAACTGAGGTAATTCACGTAATCATTACATATTTATCATTTATTGTGGTTAGAACATTTGAAATCTGTGGTATCGATTTTTAAGTATAGAATACATTGTTATTAATTATAATCACCATGTTGTATAATAGATCTTCTGAATTTATTCCTCCCGTCCAACTGAAATTTTCTATCCTTTGACCAACATCTCCCTAATACTTGCCTCATCCTTAGTCTTGGGTAACCACCATTCTACCCAATGTATCTATGAGTTCAACCTTTTTAGATTCCACTTATAAGTGAGATTATGTAGTACTTGTTGTTCTATGCCTGCCTTATTTTGTTTAGCTTAGAGTCCTCCTGGTTCATCCACATTGTCACAAGTTACAGGAATTCCTTATTTGTTAAGGATGAATAGCATCCCATTGTGTGTATGTACCACATTTTCTACATCCATTCGTGTTGATGAACACTTAGGTTGAATCGGCATCTTTGTTATTGTGAATACTGCTGCAGTGAACATGGAAGTGCAAGATCTCCCTTCAACATATTGATTTCATTTACTTTGGATATATACCCTGAAGTGGAATTATTGGTCATGTGGTAGGTGTATGTTTAATTTTTTGAGGAACCTTCATACTGTTTTCCATAATGGTTGTGCTAATTTATCTCCACACCAACAGTGTAAAAGGGTTCCTTATCTTCACATCTTCACCAACATTTATCTCTTGTCTTTTTTTAAAATAAAAAGTATTCTGACAGACGTGAGGAGATATCTCACTGTAGTTTTGATTTGCATTTCTCTGATGATTAGTGATGTTGAACATTTTTTCACATACCTGTTGGCCATTTGCATGTATTCTTTTAAGAAATGTTTTTCCAGGTTTTTTGCTCATTTTTAAGTGGGTTTAAAAAAGATCCCAGATAACCAACGCAATCTTGAACAAAAAGAATAAGGCTGAAGGCATCACATTACTTCAATCTACTCAAAGACCTCAAGTCTACTGCAAAGCTATAATAATCAAAAGAGCACAATACTGGCACAAAAACAGACATATAAACCAATGTAATAGCCCAGAAGTAAATCCATGCATTTACAGGGAAATAATCTTCAGGAAATATGTCAAGAACACACAACTGGGGAAAGACAGTCTCTTCAATAAATGATGTTGGGAAAACTGGATAACCACATGCAGAATGAAAGTATACCCATATCTCACCTCATACACCATAGTCAACTAAAAATGGATTAGAAACTTAAACAGAAAATCTGAAACAGAAAAACGGAAAAACTACTAGAAAATAAAATGTAGAGAAAAAGCTTTTTGACATTGGTCTTGGCAAAGATTATTTTCGATACAATCCAAGAGCACAGACAACAAAACCATAATTAGACAAATGGGATTGCATCAAACTAGGAAGCTTATGCACAGCAAAGTAAACTTCAGAGTGAATAAAAAACTTATAAAACAGGAGAAAACATTTGTGAACCATACATCTTATAAGAGGCTAATATCTGAAACACATAGGGAACTCAAACACCTCAATAGCAAGATGTCAGTATTTTTAGCACATAGATACATTTAAGGGTGAACATGTGTTTTAAAGAGGGACACATCAAGTTTTGCTGTACATCTTAATTTTTTATAGTATTCTTTGCTTGTTTATTATACAGTTGACCCTTGAACAATATGGAGGTTAGGTGCACCAAACCCCCATGCAATAAGAAAATCTGAGTATATCTTTCAATTCCCCCAAAACCTAACTGCTAATAACCTACTGTTGACCAGAAGCCTTACTGGTAACACAGTCAACTAACACATATTTTGTATGTTATATGTATTATATATTGTATTCTTACAATAAAATAAGCTAGAGAAAATAAAATGTCATTAAGAAAATCATAAGGAAAAGAAAAGATATTTACTATTCATTAAGTGAATGTGGATTATCACAAAAGCCTTCATATTCATCATCTTCATGTTGAGTAGGCTGAGGAGAAAAATGGAAAAGGAACATTTGTTTTTGCTGTTTCATGGGTGTCAGAGGCAGAAGAAAATCCATGCATAAGTAGATCCATGCAGTTCCAACCTGAGTTGTCTAAGGGTTAACTGTACAAAAAAACATATATAAAATTGTCTATTAAATATTGAGCAAGATTATCTCTATTAACAAAATCTAAGACATGAAGATAAATCTAAAAGCATCAATTTCTGCATTTCCATGTTATATGAAAAAAATTCTTACTCATATAAAGCAGTTGAATATTAGATGAGAGTTTAAGTCAGTGATTTTATTCTTGGAAAAATCACTGTGGAATACTAAGAACAAGTGTTTTAAAAAAAACTTAGTATCTCTGCTTCCATGAACCTCCATTTTTCATAGATTTGAGCTACCACTGTTATTTTATCATCTGATTTTTTTTGACATTCATGCAGCAAACATTTGAAATGGGACATTATATCTTGAAAGGATAGATGTCTAAAAAAATAATGTGATCCTCCTCTCTTCTTTTCACAGTAATCACAGCTTGGCCTTTGATCTGACTTGAGATTCTTCACCTTCTCTACAACACAGTGGGAGGAGGCTTCTTCTGCTGGAATTACGTAGGGCAAGATGCCATGTGGTAGTAATAACTCCTTCCATCTCTCCTAATGTGGAGTCTTTAGATATCAACTATGTGATAAAGACAGATGTATAATACATTTTCTGGATTTTATCTCCTTTTTTTTCTGCCTGTTAGCATATTATTCTTTTCTTTAAAAATTTTATGTCGGTGAACAGGAACAGAATATTTTACAGAAAAATTTCAAAGAGTTTTTTTGTAAAGATGCACCCCTAGTGACAAAGTGTTTGTGCCAAGAATGATAAGGGTAGTTTCCCTATTGTTCACACAGCAGGTTGCCATCTTTTCCTTCTTAATAGGGAAAGGTCTTATCCTTAGCAATGCTGCATGAGTTTTTCAGTTACTTGGCAACAATAATAAAAAAAACCACAAGCAGTAAAGGGCTCATCATCAACATCATGACAAATAGTAGTGTCTCAGCTGGTTTTAATGGCCATATGGAGACATTAAATTTCTTATTTTCAAGAATTAAATCCATTGCATATGATCAGATTAACCCCTGGTATGTGCAAAAATTTGAAACATTTCAGTTGTTGTATTTAAACTAGTATGTAGAAAAAAGTGAATAAGTATGAGGCACTTGCCTGAATAAACAAAGCACCCACAATGCACAAGACAGACATAGATTTTTTTTCTAATTTCAATATCAAAATACATATTTCAGGCATATTCTTACAATCATGGACAGTTAATATTATGAAGCCATCTACTGTATGTGTGATAATGCCTGTTGTTAAGGAATTAACAAATAGAAAGAGATACTTCCTTAAGAAATACTGCCATTTATAAGCAAAGAGTTAAAACCAATCAGAATGTGGGGGAAATCCAGTATGGCATCCAAACACTAACAAATGAAAATGCCTGTAATAAATGTGGAAAACATAACCATACTGAATGCAGGAGGGAAAAGAACTAACCTAAATAACTTTGAAAAACGGGAAGTTGATGGAATACTGTAAGAATAAAGACAAGAAGAATTGTGCACAAATGCTGTTATCTAGTCAGTAACTGTGTTTCTTATGAGGGTATTGGGGTAGACATCCTGAAATGAGTTTGTGTCTACTAGAATTGAATGAATAAGTAAATATGTAGTAGATAACAAAAATTAGGTCCCTTACTGCTGTAGAAGGCAATTACAATTAAAGAAAGGGAAAAGACTAAAATGATCCCTGTGATGTCAAATTGGAATCTGAGGTATCAGTATGAATTCATTATGCATATACATACACAGGTATATAAAAATATATATGTGCGCATATGGGCTAATATACAAATATTTCCTAGTCCTGTCTGCTGAGAGGCGTAGAAACAATAATGCCCCTGTAGTAATTAGCATACCTGGTGCCCAGATCTTGGTTTCTAAGCACCATGTCTCTATAAAGGCATCACGGATCCTTGGAAAAGTGGTTCGTTCCAGGGCCTGGGTAAAGGAAATCAAAAGGAGCTTGAAACACCCTGTGGTACCAGAAAAGTGAAAGTTCTCAAAAAATAGGGGAGGAGGTTGTTGAAAAAGCACAGAAGCCAACCTGAAGGAACTCTTAATGGCCAAAGCTTTGAGCAACAAAATAACTAATGAGAGTATCAGATAATAACCCAAATAATAAAATAAATATTCATAAACCAATGGTGATGATAAATAATTGATTAGATAAGTATATGGAAGAGATATGATAGCTTTTTCTTCTAGCAAAATTGCAATTAATAGATGCATAAAGAAGGAGGAAAATAGAAGTAATCACTAGACAGATATTACAGTGGTGATTATTGCATACATAATCCATTAAAGGGTGCTAGAATCAGTGGGCAAGGGGCTGGGGGAGAAGATATTTGTATGGCCTCAAAGTATTTCTTCTGAGATATTTGTTCACTATAGAAAAAATAATTATAATTTTACATTGGAAATTTCCAGGAGAGACCACCTAGATGAGAAGACCAAGGTCAATGTCACCAGTAATAAAACATATTGACATCATGAACTCTGTGATATGGAGCATGGAGAAAGGCAAGGCACTATTTCCATGATTCTCTTTTCAATTTGTGCCTTGTATATTCTGTTAGACTCCAGTCTAATAGTGAGAATATGCAAGGTACAAATTGAAGGACATTCAGCAAAATAACTCATCAATACTCTTCAGG